AAATGAAAGGTTTAACTCTAAACATACTTAGAGATTTTTTAATCCAACACCATTGTGTAACTATAACCATAAGATCATCTTTTATACCCAATCATCATTGAAGTCTCATTAGTATATTTTTCCTACAAAGTATAACAATAACAATGTTTTTGAAAAAATTACTTATAAATCATTAGTAAAACTATAGTAATAATAACATTTAAATATCACATGATTAAAGTACAGAAAACATTACTTAATATTTTTAAGGTGAAAAATCATCTTTTTCCTACACCTGCTATATTTGCAATCTGATTTATTATCTTTAATTTCAACATTTCCAATAATACATGTAATCACATAAGTTTAACTCTAAAACAGGGCAGAATCTTTTCACACTAGTGTAAGTCTAAAACTCTTACATTCAATCTAAATCTTTCATTTAACTTGCATCTAATGAGTTATAATTTATTATTTAACTAACCGTTAGATGCAAGTTAAATGAAAGACTCAAATTAAGTATAAAAGTTTTTAGACTTACATTAGTGTAAAAATATCGTTCTCCCTCTAAAATATATTTTAAAAAATAAATTTTATATACTATGAACATCAAAAAAATATAACTTACCAACTAAGATCCTATCATCTACTACATAATTTGTGATATCCTTAAATTCAATAAATTAAAATTCATAATGATCTATAACACTAATATTTTCACATTCATGCACTTATATGTTGTAAAAAGAAATTTTATTTTGTATATATGACTTGTAGGTTGAAAATCTCCCACCTATGTTTTGACCAAGAGTGAAATTACTTTTAGCATACACCATCCTTACTTTTAACTCAAACTTGAATTTTTTTAAGAATGTTTGTTGGTCAATATATGAATATGTCACTCTATTCAAATTAATAAGTGTGAATTCAAATAATATATAAGAAATTAACTCTTAAAGTCTATATAAAACAGTTTCATATAAAAATACACATATAAATAGTTCCTTACATTTGCGTTTAACAAAATTAATTCTATATTATTGATATCATTCTCATCATTGAGACTCAATCAAGTATGTATTATCCAAAATCTTATCTTTCATCTTGAATCAAGAGTACTAACATCACATCACATACATCATTAATTCGAGTTATCACGTCTGTCAATAACAATTAGAAGGAATAAAACAAACTATTTTTTACATAAAATACTCAAGAAAAATATAAATATAACCTTATACAACAAATATTTTTAATAAAAAATACAAAAAATGAAACCTAAACATAAAGTATAAGAGGGAAACAACTTTAGAACTATTATTTTAAAATATTCACTTTATCCATGCCTCCTACAATAATTAAAATTTAAACAAGACCTTTTTATAGTTTCATGAAATAAAATTGTACCAATTTTTATTGATACCTATTAATTAGTCTTCTTTCATTGACTAATTACACACTTTTCAAAATAAAGAAAACTTATCCATAAATAAAAGTAGTCAAATATTTGGAATAAATAGCTTTGTATATTTAATAAACTAAGATTCAAATCAAATAACGTAATATTTAAAATTTTAATTAATATTATTATTATTATTATTATGAACAAAAATTTAAATTATGAACACCATGTCCAGTTCCAATATCTAAGCGTAATGAATATCAATTTTTTTTTAAAACATGTTGAGTTACCAAAATCAAACAATAAATATTGTGTTAACTTTCACAAAGTATACATTTACAAAGAATTAAATGTACACTTTTTAAAATTTTCAGAGAACATATATCAATATTTTTTTTATATTTAATAGTATATTTAAGCATTTAATATGGTTAAATTTTTGGTAACATGACCCATTAAAATAGTAAAATATTAAAATAAAAAATTGAAAGAATGACACATAAAAAAAACACGGAAGATGAAATTTATTTTATATATATATATATATATATATATATATATATATATATATATATATATATATATAACACTTTAGTAGTTATTAGATGAAAGTCTAAACTAAAATTTTATATTATTTTATCTTTTCAATATTGAGTAAGACTTTTAAGAGATAAAAATTGTAAATAATTTCTCTTTTCTCTTAACATAATTTAATGTTTCATTATGTTAGTTGTGTTTTTTTAATATTTAGCTTTAAATGTAAAATTAAAAATAAAAAGTATTTGATTAAAATAAAAACTTAATTATTTTAAAAAATAATTTTTAAGTTTCATTTTAAAGATAACTTATGAATTATTTATTTTTATTAAGGTAATATTAGTGTTTTTATCCTTCAATTTTAAAGGAAATTTTAGTTTTATTTTCTCCTTAGATCTTCACACTTCTTCTTTTTCTATCTTTTTGTTACTAACACTAAACACTTACCCCTAAATTCTAATTCATACATAACCTAACTTTATAAATACTCATTTCAAGTTGCTAGTTTTCATTGTTCACACTGTTATTCTAGAATTTAACTTTGTTTGTGTGGATCACGTTTTAGGTATGTAATTAGTTGTTGCTCTTATCTTCTTAAAGATTGGCCTTCAACCTCATCTTTGATATTATCTTTGTAGTATACTCTACTTAAAATTATAACTAATGATACTTCTCATAGTATGAATTTAAAATTTCTGACATTAGGACAACTTGTGAATGTTTGTAATTTACACTTGTTCAAAGTTGCACTATTTGTACTCTGTCATTTAGTTATGGAAGAAAAAGTTTGTAATAAGAGAGTGTTTAGTATTAGTGGCAAGAAAATGGGAGAGAAAAAGGAAGATGTGTAGAATATAAAGTTTAAAATTTGAAAAGACAGATAATGAAAAATATAGAATTAGAATTTTTAACAGAAAAAAATATATTTAAAACTTTTATAAAAATTAAAAGATTAAAATAAAAAAAATTAAATAACAAAACCAAAATCTCTTTTAAATTATATGATTAAAATACTATTTTTTTTTATTAAAAATCCTAACTACAACATTTAGAGTTAGTGTTATTACTATTGTTACTACTATTATCTAAATATTATTATCAGTCATCATCTTTTATCATCAATTTAATTATCATTATCTCTCTTATCACAATTATTATTATTATTATTATTATCTTTATCATCTTATCAATTATCTATTCTTATTATTATTTTTATCATATTTATTGTCGTTCACTATTTGAATTATTGTTCTTATTATTATTGTTAGAAATGATAATAATTGACTATACTTAAAATGTTATTTATACTAATTTTTTTTATATTTATTAAAATTTTATGAATGTAAGAATTAAAAGATGTATAAAAAAAATTAATTTATTTATTTTTTATTAAAATTTTTAAAAAAATCTAATTTGATAGATGCAACTTAAACCGACCTTACTTTATCACCCTAAACATTATTGCTAATTATCTATCCAACGAATATTCAAATTATTGTTACTATCAGCTATCAATCTTTATAATCAATAGTGATATTTTATGCTTTAAAATTTAATATTAAAATTCAAAATTTTAAAACTAAAATTTTAGAACTGAAAACTCATTTAAATTTTTTAAAAATTAAACTGAAATCTAAAAGTCAATTTAAACAAGAGAAATTATTATTGGATTTTCTCATTATATTTTCATTTTAATATAACGTCTTCAACGTAGTTTAATTTATGATAGCTTATATATATATATATACTTATTGAATTATATTTATTCAATTTTAGCCCGAAACCTGATCCGTGAAAGTCCTTATTTGTTGTCCACTGAAGATACGAGGATGAAATTCAAAATTCAAATATTGACATCCATTTTGATACTCCTCTGGTGGATGGTAGCTTCAGCGTTCACGTACGAATGTACATAAAACCCCACGTCCAATCCACGTGCTTCAAAACGATACGCCCAGGCCAAAATTTGTATTTGCCGCGCTCATCGTTTGGGGTCAACACAACCCACCCTAGCTGTAGCTTTGGAATTTGTCACGTCGCCAAACCCCAGGTTCGGAAACTCCGAACGTAACCTCTTCACTCCAGGACAGAGAGCCACAACCCTTGTTAAATATTTTAATCATAAAACTATATTAAATAATTTTTTATTTAATAGATTTTTAACGTTCTCTAAATATCAATTCACATTTCTTTAAAAAATTAATAATAAATTTAAAGTATTTAATTTAATATAAAATATTAATTATTCCATTTTTATACTAAATATTCTTCTCTAATAAGTTATTCAGTTGACAACATTTATTGATAAACATTGTTATTAATATATTATTTTTAGAATTTAATTTAAATATATTAATAATGTGTAATTTTTTTTACATTACTATCTAATCATAAATTATTATATTTCTTTTCTCATTTACCAAAAAATAAATCATAAATGGTTATGTACAAAAATCATATTAATAGTATATTTTTATTAATTAATAATGTAAAATTTTTTACATTAATAATATACACTAAAATTAAACTCTTATTTTTAATACAGTTTTTTTAACAATTTTGTTAATTTTATTTTAATATAAAATTTAAACATATAAAAATATCATTTTTAGAAAAATATTAAGTATTTATTATATTTTTAGTATAATAAATATTTTAATAAAAAATTACTATTTTAGATGTTTAAATTTAGTCGTATAAATTGAAATTAAGAAACTTATTTTGCCAATTGAGTAAATTTACATAAAATCTTTTTTAAAAAAATGTAAAATCTATTAAATAAAGTGAGTATTTTTCATAATACGTAAAGTAGATTTTACTTTTCAATTAATGATTTTGCCTTTTATCAATGAATTATAATGTTAAAAAATGAATTTAGCATTATGTTAGCGATCCTTTCTCAAATTCATTTATTCAAAGTGAAACACTCCTGCTCCGAGCCTAACCTAACCTAACCTGGTTCATGCGAAAGACACGGACATGTCGCGTAAACCCAGCCAACTATTACTCGCAGATGAGACAAGAAAACAATTAAAAAAATCCTTAAAATAAAAAAAAAAGAATAGTGAAGTTGCGGCACGAGCCTTTGATTCCCATTACTCAATTCGTTACTCATTCATTTCATTTCCATCCATTCATCCACCTTCTCATTCTGCTGCGCTGCTTCACGATTCCCTCGCCATCACAACCAGATAGAGCTTCACTGCTTCTGCTCAAGCAGAGAGAAGATCGAACGCAGAAACTGGTACTATGCTACTTCCATGTTTCCTTCTTTATTGGATCAGTTATCGATATCTCTGTTTATGGTGAAAGTTGCTGTTTAATTCGATGGATTTGGGGGTTTGCTTTAAATTATTTTGAATTTTGGGAGCAGTAGCAGACCGTAACCATTAATTTCGTTCACGTCTCTTCCTTGACCCTATTTATTATTATTGGAATTATTTTTTATTCGATAATGACAGATAGACCCATGGAAGGTCACTTCGTTTCTCTCTCCTCTCAATTATGGTGGGATGGAGGTGTATGCTTGGTGCAATTAGTGCCAGAAATAAAATTAGTCGAAGTTTCATTGGAATTGAATTTCGAGCATAAGGTTACTTTTGAATTTGAATCTAGTAGTAACCTTTTCGTGAAAATAAGATCCAGTACTTTCTAAGCTACTTTATTGTTATTATTATTTTTAATTAAATATTTTTTTTTCTATATAATTTTAATCAAATTAAATGCTCAACTATCGTGTTCACATGCAGGAATGAAGTTTTAATTGCTTTCATTTCAAGGACCGTAAGTATCCTTGGTGCATAGGATCTGATTTGGTGCATACAGCGTAGTCCACGTTCATTACCCGGCAATCTCAAGTTCCCATGTCAATTTCTGAGAAACCATCTTCATCGTTGACATCTATAGACGCCCGAGATGTTGATCCGTTGTTAAAGGATTTGAATGAAAAGAAGCAGAGCTTTAGGCGCAACGTGGTTTCGTTAGCGGCAGAGTTGAAGGAACTTCGAAGTCGCTTATCGTCACAGGAACAATCGTATGTTAAAGAAACTCAAACAAGACAGGTACCATACTACCTGTTTTTCGGTTGTTTCCTGCGTCTTTTTGTTCCAAAACAACCATTTTTTGTTTCCTTTATTTTTTCTCTTTTTGGCCGTGCTACAATATTACAACTTTGCTATCAATCATTTCTACATTTTTATTTTAGTCTCGTAGGGTCAGGGAAAAATCATTGGAATTTTTTAGTCAGGCAAGTTTTTATGAATACTCTTTCACAGGAAGCAGAGACAAATGCCAAGAACATGGAATTGGAAATTGGCAAATTGCAGAAGAAATTGGAAGAAAGAGACGAGCAGCTTCAGGCTTCAGCCTCTTCCGCTGAAAAGGTTTCACACTTTTCACCTAGGTTTACCATTCATTATTATTATACTTTCGCCTAAGTTTACCATTACTTAATATTATTTAATAGATATCTCTTGATGTGGAAGTGTTGTTAGCTTTTATTTATTTTCTTTAAATTATTGCACGTCTTTTGCCTGCCTTTCATCGATGTTCATCTTTTAGGATATATTTTTACTAGTTTGTCCTCTTTCATTTTGGCGGATCCCAGTGGAATGAATTCTGAAGAAAAGAGTGACTAGATGCTTTGATCTATTATTATTATGATCCCTTTCTAACTTGGATTGTTCTTCAATTTTTTCTCTGTCACATTTTTCTGCAGTAATTGTTAGGTTACTACCTACAATTAATAAAATTACTTAAATCGACTTTGACGTAGGGATTAGTCCATCATGCTTTTCTAAGTTGGAAAATCGCTGATATAATTTTGTATCAGTTTTGTCTTTCATCGTAAACCACCTAGTTGATTTTGAGTACACAAAAGCATAAGGAAATTAACTAATGAATGCTAGTGACTCTTCTAGTGCGAGAGCGGCCTAGTATTGTATGCCGCTAATTATTTGACATCTATATATAATTAAATAAAGCCAAGCAATAGCAGTTCTATTCAACGAGAACTTGTCCTTATCTGCACCAAACTCCCAGTAGATGCTTCCAGCGTCAAATTTTCTAAATTCCTTCACAATGGATGTCACTTGTTCACTTTGTTGGGCTCAATAAATAAATAAATGTTGTTGCTAAGGTGTGGGTTAGAAGAGGTGAATCTTAACTAGGTAACAAAAACCAACGGATGAACGGAGGTTGGGTTTAGCGGAAGGGATTAACTTTCTACAAAATAGCAAATCTCGATTTGACTTCCTGTTAGGAGATGCTCACTTTCAGTGTACTATCATGTCTTGAGTAGAATTCCTTCTTATGGTGAACTAAAACGATAAAATAAAAAAGAACTGGGGAGTAAGAAGTTTATGGTATACAGACTATAAATCTGATTTCAAACAGAAATTCGCGGCACATAAAACAAATCAATTTCATTTTTGTTTACTAAATCTGTGTTATACCAAGCACATTTGTTATGCACACCAACAGACCCATAAACTTTTATTTAGTGGGTGGATATTTTCTCTCCCCTTTTGGTGATATATTAGAAAAGAGATAAATGCATCTACCTAGCTATATATTATAACTACAAATCTTTTCATAAAATAAAAGCTAGGATGCTGGAAGTTGAATATGGAATGAAAATTATGTAAATAAAACCAAGTGCGATTCATATTTGTGCCGAGACTTGAGCGAGCATTAACAGTTTTGTTATTTGAACTACCTAAAATTGATACAGTATATTATACACCATTGTATATTATAATTTATATTTCTCTTTTACTTTTATCTTTTATATAGAACTCATCTTAAAAACATATCCCAAATATAAAGGGACACTTAAAATGTCCACTTTAACATACATTTTCCTTTTGGATAATTACTTCTCTAATCAGTAATTTTAACAATTTTATCGTGAACATTAAAGGCTTGTATATCACGAATTCCAGTGTTAGATAAGCATCTTATCTATACTATAATAATTGTAACATTGGTGTAATACAAATTATAAATGAAGTGAAAATCTTGGAAAGCCAATTACACATTTAACCTTTAATGAACAACATAGCATAACGGCGCAGAGTAACTTGCGCTTTGTAAGCTCAAATTCTTTGATTGGTGCCATACCCCTCATGGATTTTATTTCTATCTTGAAGAATGTAACAAGTTTCTAATTATTTTGCCAGCATGTATGTGACTTTATAAAATATTCTCGAAATCCACTAGATTCTGCGTGACTGTTTATCTCTTGCAGGTTGCAACATAGATTAAAAAGTGAAACCATCTCTGAAACATGTTGATTTACCCAGGCAATAACCTATAACATATTTTTTAATCTTGATACAGTATATGAAGGAGTTGGATGATCTTAGAACACAGCTTGTGGCAACGAGAGCAACTGCTGATGCAAGTGCTGCATCAGCTCAGTCAGCCCAACTCCAATGTTTAGAACTTGTAAAAGAATTAGATGAGAAAAATAATTCACTAAAGGAGCATGAGGATCGTGTCCTAAGGCTAGGGGAGCAACTAGACAATTTACAGAAGGATCTTCGGTCCAGGGAATCATCACAAAAGCAATTGAAAGATGAAGTTGTGAGAATTGAGCACGATATTATGGAGGCTCTTGCAAAAGCCGGAGAGAACAAGGATTGCGAACTACGGAAAATATTAGATGAGGTTTCACCTAAAAATGTTGAGAAGATGAATAAGCTTCTAGTTGTTAAGGATGAAGAAATCTCAAAACTTAAGGATGAAATTAAGATCATGTCTGCTCACTGGAAGCTTAAGACTAAGGAATTAGAATCACAGGTAAACCCATTCTATTTTGCTTGTGTAATTACTTATTCATTTATTTAGTGTTTTCTTGTCTCTTTTTATGGTCCTTGGCTAGTGTATTTAAGGGCATTGGTGTTTTGACACAGTTGGAGAAACAACGGCGTGCTGATCAGGAGCTCAAGAAGAAGGTATTCAAGTTGGAATTCTGTCTGCAGGAAGCTCGTTCTCAGACACGAAAACTCCATAGGGTAATTTTAAATCGTGCTGGATGAGGGCTTGGTTCAATTTATTTTGAAAAAATAATCTTTTTTTTGTTAATTTCATGAGTAAGCTAAAATAAGCGATTGTTTTCTTATGAAAAACAATTCTCAAACATGCACTATATATATTTTTTTTCGTTCAAAATACTGAATGTTCTTCTTGTTTACCGTTAATTGGGCTCTTGTAGTACTTTTTTTCAAAATTTTGATTTTGATTTGAATTAATTGATCAATTGCTTTACTTTTTTTTGGGTAAGAAATTGCATTGAATTATGAAAATACGAAACACATTACAATTTGACCTGACTTTTTATCTACTATTGGACCATTATTCATGACTTTTTATGGATGCCTAGAATTTTTTTTCCGCTCGTGCTTCCATGCATGCTATCATCTAATTCCAGGATCTAACCCTTCTTGCGCCCTAGTCAAATAACATGTTTCGTTGTATGGGTTTGTGAACAGATGGGAGAGCGACGGGACAAAGCTATTAAAGAACTTAGAGATCAATTAGCAGCAAAGCAACACCGAGCAGTTGTGGCTGCAGATAAGCAGACTCAGAATTTCTGGGACACTTCTGGATTTAAAATCGTCGTCTCCATGTCTATGCTGGTCTTGGTGGTATTTTCAAAGCGGTGAAACCATTAATGTATAACAATTCGTGTATATAGACGTACCGAATACCTTCAAATTCTAAGAGTCTAGAGAAATTGTAGAAGCGCCGTTTAATGCAGTTTTATAGGTAATATAGCTTTAGCTTGTTCAATATGTACGTGTAGCGTCAGGATCACGGCATTTTTGCGATGTTCTATTATACTAAATTGCAGTAGTTGCGTTTATATTGATTTACGGTCGCATTATTAATTTATAATTGTATTTATTTATGCTGGCTAGAATCGCTGTGGACCTCGTTCACAATCATTTATATAGAAAACTATGAAGTCGAAGACGCTACAAATTTGTGTGAAATGAAAACTGTCTATACAGCCAACTACAGTTGATTTATGTCAAAGTTCCTATTTTTTATTTAATATTTGCCCAGTAACTTATCAACATGTCGTCTAATACCACGTTTTGTAGATAGCAAATTTCGTACAAGGCATTTTTTTGAAGGATTATTATTATTATTTTATATCCACTTCTTGATATTTACTATCTTTTTTTATTATTTTATTTTTATCTTTCTTATCTCTTCACTCATTTCACATTTTATTTAGAGTGTGAAATCATCGTAACCCTTCAAATATCGGGGACTTAATAATGTGCCTTAGGTATGTATTGCCCTGCTGGCAAATGTCTAGTCTGCTTCAGATATTAGAAAAGCAGCTCACATGCGTCGGTTTTAAAGTCAAGGCATTCGGTGGATTTGGCTGATTGGCGATACTGCTTTCTCATTACGTCTTTGACAATTGAATAAGCTCTAACGTTAGAATCGGCATCCAATGCATTGAGAATCAAGTGCACGTAGGTGTCTTGACTCGGGTGGAAATGATTTGCTTGATTCCTAAATTTAAGGTTTGAGTTTGATTACTTTATTTGATATAACTAATCTCTTTGAGTTTTGATAAATATTTTTTCATACACATTTCTCTTAATTTATGATGAGATGAACATGAAAAAACCTAAAATAATATAAGAAAAAGATGAATCAAACGAAATTTTGTTCAACCTCAAGGGCTTCAAACATAATTTGTCCTATATTTTAATAATTTCATGATGAGATGAAACGCCATACCTCTTTGCAATGAATTTCACATTTGTCATGTATCTTGAGTGCTCTGTTCAAGTGTTTCTTCTCCTCACTGTCAGAGTCGTAAACCTTCATGATTTACCGTTGCTGTTGCCTTCATAATTTATGGGACCTTCTCATGAATCATAATTGACACTTTTCATAAATTCTAAAATGGGCTATTTTGATGAATAACAATCCCCCATAAACGCATATCAATTTACCCAAAAACTACCAACTCCACAAAATTGAAAAAAACTACTTGCTCTCAAAATATATGTACATGATCAATATCGATTGTCTGTTGTACAGTGTAGATGCCAAAAGCAGCACAGAATTTATTTCCACAGTACAAATTCCCTCACCTTCACACCTAAGCTTAAGTCTAGCACATTGATGATCATTTGGCTGCTCACATTCACTCACCTTCTTCTGTTCCCTTCTTACTCTATTGTCTTTGTTCACTACACCTATACACGACATCTAATTTAACGTTACAATACAACTCTAACGAATAGCTAGAGATTCTATTGAGCATCTCACATACTATATCTATAGGTGCACACTTAGTCTTGTAGTGACAAATGATATCATCAGAACAATGCAGCCAAGAGAAGGTCTCAGACCTACAGAATGCGATGCCGAAGTGGTGTTTACAACTGGAGGGCTTTCGGACCCAAAACCTGGCATCATACCTGATGCTGGGTTGCTTGAGTTTAACACTGAAGGCGGGGTACCATACCTGCAAAAGGTAGTAATTATACAGCACCATGATTAGTATGCATATTGGTGCTATAGATTATGAAGCCATGCAAAAATTGCTAGTTGCTGTGTCACTTACCCGGAAGTACCTGCTCCTGAAGATGCCGATGTTGTTGGTGGAGCTGTTGGAATAGATGGTGTTGGTGTTGTTGGAACTGATGGTGCAGGTGTTACTGGACTCGGTGGTGGTAGAGATGTTGGACTTGATTGTGTAGGAGGTGTTGGGAATGATGACTTTGGCGTTGATGATGGTGACGATGATGATGGGAAAATGCACGAACCCGAGCCTATTCATAATTCAGAAGAGCCAGTTTAAGAAGGTCATTAATTTAATATTAAAATAAAAAAAGGGTGTTAGTTAAACTATTAAGATCTTACTTGGATTAGTATTAACTAAGGTGGCGGTTCCTCCAAAGTCACAGCTTGTTGGAGCTGGATTCTTCTGATAGTAACTGTTGAAGGCAAAAGAAGCATGGTTCTGCAAAGTTACTGGACTGTAACAACTCCCACCTTGCTGTATTTGAGAACAATCTGCACCCCCCATTCCACAAGCATAGTCCAATGCTGCTTGAAGAGAAGATTCAGGAGTTCCTGTTTTTGCCACACACCAACTCTGCCCCTGAATGGCTGGAGCATTTGTGTTTGCTGGGGGAGGTTGTGGGTTTATGACGGGAACACTCGCTGACGGTGATGGAGGTGGATAAGATGTCACTGGGTTGGTTACTGGTTGTGTCCCTACAGGAGTTGTTGTAGCTGGATTGGAAACTGGTGGTGCTGGTGAATTGGCTGGATTTGTGGGAGGTATAGGCACAGGTGTTGCAGAAGGAACTGTTACAGGCATTGCAGCAGGATTGGTGGGTGAAATTGTGACTGGATTAGTGGAAGGGACTGTGATGATTGTTGGTGTATCTGGGGGTGTGATAATTGGTATTGATGATGTTGGATTTGAGGGGTAAATTGTGTTTGTTGGGTTGGTTGTATCATCTAGACTTCTCCTTTTGTTGGATTTGCTTAGGGTCTCTTTCTTAACTAAACCTTCTGTTGTATGCACTTCTGCATATAATGCAGCTATTCTTTTTGTAATATGAGTTCTTGCTTCTATATATTTTGATACCTTTTCACTAAATTGAGCTGCTTCTGTTGAACTTAGGATAATTGGGCACTTGATTGTCAGAACGATCGGAACATCTTTGCAAGGAAGAATAGAAGCAGCAAAAGTGGCTCGTTTGATAATAGACTGAACAAAGTGATTCCCCATGCTTAGTTCCCCTTCAATGCTGTCTTCTATCATGACAGAGGATTTTATTTTCTGTATAAATGAAAGAATCATACGAATTTCGTTTTCATGTGATGCATTCAACTTCTCTAAGAATGATAGTGGAAATGCTACTGAGACTTTTACTTCCTTGCCTGTGTGAAGCTCATTGAGAACTGAATGAATTGATTTAAGGGCATGTAAAAACAAAGGCATCTCATTTTGGGCTAAGCACTCACTGCCACAGCTTGCAATGACGGTTTTGACGTTAAAATGAGGGAGGAAGTTTAGTAGATGAGCTTTTAGTCTAGAAAATCCAGAAGGTTTTGAAGTAATGAAATTGTCAAGTTGGCTTTTGTTTAAGTAGACATCAACTGATACATTGGAGTTGATGAGAGTGCTCAAAGTCCTATGATCTGTGACAAAAATTCGAATCTGAGATAAGGAAACCTTGCTTTGTTGGAGGAATAATATAGTTCCTTCAGATGTTGAAGTCTCTCCTCTCTCACGATAGGAAAAACCCACCGGAGCTCCTACAAAGAATGAAACAAGTAGATTAGAATAAGCACAAGTCCAATTGGTTTATCACTTGAATTTGAGCCGCCTCCACAGATTTTGCTACAAGAACAAGGTGGCGTAATCCAAAAGCTAAAGATAAAAATTCATCGTCATCAATTAGATGGAAATGATTACTGTAAAACTCAGCAAGACCAAGTGTTGAAGTTTCAGAAACTGAAGTAAACAAGGAGAAACTGCTAAGTTTGGACTTTTGCCAAGAACAATCACTGAAAAAATATGATTATTCTATGATATTATCAGTGTCAGATACTTACCAGAACAAGAAATAATGAGAAAGGAGAGAAACAAGAGGCACAAAGAAGCTTCCTTGGCCATTATGAGAAAGGGTAACTTGAATGTAGAAGAATGACCCAGTTGGAAGTTCAGTGTTATTCATGCAGTAGCAGTGCTTTAAAGACATAGCATAGAACTTGAATAAAAGCCCACAGAGGCGGGGGCTGTTGAAGATAAAGGTGATGAGTGAGAAGGGGAGAAAAAGGTGTCAAAAAAGAAAGAGGACCAAGTTGTGATGATAAAAAAGAAAAGATATCATATTATAGATTGGATGTTGCTTTGTGACGAAGGATTGGGTTGTAAATGCTTTGGTCTGATAAACAGTATGGAGAATCGTCATGCTTTTTATTGCTTTATCTATCATTACCATAGCTTATACATGAATGTGCATGACAAATATAATGGGACACATTGCCCTTCCATTTAGATTATGCACATGTGATTATGTGTTGGTGTTCCTCAAGTAAGGGCTTGTGCTTTTGGAATCCGTGATTGGCCTTTGCACAAACCACGTGTTTGAGGCAGCGATTAGTTGAACTCAGCTTTGAAAAATTAGGCAAGAAAACCATACTTGAAAGACTAAACTTTGCTACCCAATAACCTACATTTTTTTTTCTATTGAGAAGCTGTTTTGGACCACTTTTATAAATTAAGAAAGTAATATTTTGTGTGTAACAACAAAGAGGGAGAAAAAGGCAGGAAAAAGAAAATGCTTTTGCTTTAATTCGGATTAGATCAGGCGGTAATGTAGATTACTGTTAGCTTTTTTGAGTATCTACTAGCTATCTAAAGTTGGTGGACAACAATTTATTTATTTTTACCACAATTAGTCTTTGTTGCGTAGCAAAACCAATTACTAATAGATCAATACTTAACAAAAGTATAAGATGAAATTGCAAAGAATTAATTCAGCTGAGTAGGACCAAAAAGTATATTTTGGTTCTTGGCTTTGGCTATTTCTTTCTTCCCCCCATAAAGTTTATGCTCTGTACTAGTCATATGCAGCGCATGTTTAATTTTACAATATCTGGACAACATGGTGGGACAACCCATGTGTAATGATCTTAGTCTGTCTTCTCTCATTCAAGTTTCAACTTAATCAAAAGCATTGTCTGACTAGGTCTCTAGCCGAAAGCAAAGCAATTTAGAGACAGAAATAGAGAGTGGTTGCACTGTCACCCTTGACATGGCTGATGCATAGTATACGCAAAAAGTGCCCCTTCTAAATCTCTAAACCACAAAAATGGAAGAACACAAGTGTTTGGGGCCTTTTGAGTATCAATAAATTATTAGGATTAGCAGATTATATGTTCATTTAAGAGTTATTAAAATAGATTATATGTTCACTTAAGAGTTATTAAAATTTGAAAATATTCAATTCATCCATAAAATTGCTATATTGGAATAAGTTTAGTAGATAGTATCAATAAATTATTGTTTGTTATGTAAGACAACTTTAAAAAAGAAAATTTAGATGGGTAAGGATGAACACAGCCATTAGACCACTGATAAGTGAGAAACTGCCTCCCTATTGAAAGAAAGGTAAAGGAACAAAGAGAAGTGCTTTCCGTTTCCGTAGATAATGCAATAAAAAGTGTTGTTTGCTATTACATGAATTCAAAATCGAGGGATATCAGAGTGAGCTGTAAGTAGGAGGATGCGGATCTTCTTTCCGGATCTCCAATTTTATTTTTACTTTAAATAAAAATAAATTTATTTAAGTAAAAATATTTAAAAAATTATATAAAATCAATTTAAATAAATTTTTATTTAAATAAATTATTTTAATTTAAGTAAATTTTTTTTTCTCAATTTTTTTTATGCTTAATACTCTTTTCTCAATTTCCGTATTTAAATTTCTTTTTTTTTTATCTAATTCATAAATTTTATACTTATTTTTTTTTCATACTTAACTCTCTATCTTCACGATTATTTTTATATCACAGCTCTCTTTACTTTTATTATTATTATTTCTTTTTTTTTATACTTAATTTTTATCTCGTTAAATATATAAATTTTGCATAAATTAAAAAAATTTACTTAAATTAATTTTATATAATTTTTTTTATATTTTCTATATTTTTGTTTAAAAAAAAAAGTGGTACTTGCATTGAGTGGCGGATTTACGTGGTAAGTATACAAACGTCACCACAAGACAAACACATCATTTCATGCAGCTTGCAAGATATTTTTGCTTTGTTTAGTGTGTAACTTTATTAGTAGTGAGGGCGGAGATTCTCTAATTTCGATATTTGACATATATTAATAAGGATTTCCAATGGTAGTTGAAATGACCTATCAATAAATGACACTAATAAAAATGGTTTAATAACATTTTGTGAACATTGTTTTGACAAAACATGGAGGGTGTAGACACGTGAAAATATTTGACAAGTTTCCCCATTACAAATGGGATACACTCAAAAGTATCGCCACTACGATACTTTAAGTTTATTGCACAAATTTTCTTTTATCCTCTTATTATTTTAATGCAGGTGCATTTTGTCTATAACTTTTTCTCTATATGGGAGATAAATTTTCCATTTGAAAAAAGTGGAAGAAGAATTTTAAAACACTACTCATACAATATTAGTTCTATTTATATATTTTTTTTTTGTATCATATTGATATATTTAAATTATAAGTATGAAATTAATTACTATTGTAAGTTTAATTTAAATAAATATATAATAGATAATATTTTTAGAAAAAAATAGAATATTATTGAAATTTATTTTTAGCCGTCTCAAATTTTTATTTTGAATTAATTATTTTTATTTATAAAAATATAGGATGAGTGAAATTGTTAACATTATATATTAAAATAGTAAGATTTATGAAGGAAATAAATAAGTAAATTTCAAAAAGTAAATAAGAAAGTGATTAAAATAAAATGCGGATTAAGTTTTAAAGCATTAAAAAAAATTCATTTGAAATTTAATTTTGGTTATAATCACATTATTTCTAGATTAATTTTATGTTTTTTTTACTTGATGGAAATGCTAGATAGTATACACTAATCATGAGATGCTTGAGAGGTAGTCAGAATAGTTTGAGTATGGTTTCCTTGCATACAACATACTACACAAGTTAGCTAGACTTAGTTATTTTCAGTACTTGGATATTTTACTTTTGTCCTACACTTATACCTAGCATTATTCAACCACTTTATTTGTAATTAATTTACAATCACAATATTAATCAAATACAAATCACAATTAAAATTTAGTCCATATGGTACATATTTAACTTAAACACAATTTCCTTATACAAGAGAAAGATTCATTATCATGAACTTAATTGATTTCATATTTTTTCAGATTTTATGCATCACATTATAAAATTCATAACTCATTTAATACAAGCCCAAAAATTATGAAATCAGCGGAGTTATTTTCCTTTAAGTGTCTATTTTCATACAAAAATACAATAATAAATTAGACACTCACATAATTTAATATGAAACTCAATTTCTCCTTCACAAAATATCATTTTTCAACATGAGTTTAGTAGAAAAATAATAAAAAATTCAATATAAATCCAAAAATCATGAAACTAGTGAGGTTATTTTTCTATGAAAGTCTATTTTCATAAACAAATATAAGTATAATTTAGACACTAATAGAATTCAATGCGAAACATAGTTTAGTCCTGTTGTAGTCATTATAAATCAATATTTACTGAAATCAAATAGTAATTACTCCTAAGGCAATCCTTTTTCTAAGAAAAATATTTCTATAATTTATTTAAAAACAACTCATGCAGTTTGCATAATTTACAATCTAGTTTCCAAATTTCATTATTTTGCAAAAATGTCATTTTTATGCAAATTGATTAATCTTAGCTAAGTGCCACATTTTTTTAAAAAAGATTTTCAAGGTATTTTCAGACCTTAAACATAACCAAATAAAATATTATGGTTTCACACATCATATGGTCAAGGTTCATGCAATTTAAAGTTAATTTAAAGTAAAAAATATGGTACTATTTTACCCTTAGGTTTAATCTTTCAAATTTGGTCAATTCTTCCTTAAAATCTCATATTCATGTCATGGTTTAGTCCATATAAAAAGGGTCCAAGGTTCAAAATTTCATTTACATGGTCACTTTCTAATTTTTTTCTATTTACCTTAACCTCAGTCTTATTATAATTTATAAAAGTTCTCTTAATGTGTAATTGACTGTACATAAGCAGAGGAGATTAAGAATATGAACAAACATATGATAAGGTGAGATAAAGTTAATGATCTTGAGGGTAAACATTTATCTTAAATACTTATAAGTGAGAGGAAAATAATATTTTATGAGCTGTGATAATATCTTTTATTAATGTCTCACATGTAACTTTATTGTTCATTAGCTCAGAATTAGTAAGATGTTGGTAAAAGAATTTGTTTGAGTGTGACTCTCATTGTAATTAAATATATGAATAAATATGCTAAAAGGATAATTAGAAGGAATAGTGTGGAATGAAAGAATTTTGTATAAACTGAAAATAAATTTTTGTAAAATGATTTTCATTGTTTTTTTTATAGATTGATTGACTATCCCCATTGGTGTGTATTGATTTACTTGAAGACAAACAAAAATTTAAGTTTGAGGTGGTGATAAATCTAGATTTTGTTAGATTTATAGTTAGTTTTCTAGTAGCTTTTTAATAGAAAATTATAGTTAAGAAGATTAAAATCTCATAAAAAATGATAATTGTTCAAATACTTCAATTTTATTTATAGTAACTCAATTTGTTTGGATTTAATAGTGTTTTTATGCAAATTTTGTTGTTGAATGAGTTTTGTACGAAATTCTAAAAGAAAAACACATGAGTTAGAAGCATTAAGAGGTCAATTGAACTGAGCGTAGTCATTTTTCGTGCTAAAAATGAACATTTCAGAGGCCTAGAAGTCAATTAAGGTTGAACATTATCACTTTTAGTGGAGAAAGTGATCATTTCAAGGACTTTGGAAGTGAAATATGATGAGTGTAGCAACTTTCAACACTAAAAGTGAACGTTGCAGAGCTTGAAATGAAGAAATGGTATGAGTGTGAACTCTTTCTCCCCTAAAAGTGAATGTTACAAAGCTAGAAAAGGAGAATTAATCTGTGTGTAAACACTTTAGACATCAAAAGTGAGTCTTCCAGAGCTTTAAGTAGTTGAATAGAGCTGCTTGTTAACACTTTTAGTGTAGAAAGTGAGTATTATAGAAGCTGTCATAAAG